GCTTTGCGCGAAATTCCAAAACAAACAATTGCATAAGCAGTAGAGCTATGAAGTATAATTTCTTGATGTTCAAAATATGAGTTTAATAACGTATTTATTTATACAGGGGTTAGACAAACACACAGAAAAATTAAAACCTGTTCAAAAAGGTTCATTATGGCATCAGGTTATATTAATTTGGTTTAGCAAAGAAACAGGTGCTAGATTTGAAACGGAAGTAACACCATACCTTAATAAGAATGTATGTTGTATCAGGAAACCAAAGTCAAATTATTTCAAGAATACTTATAATGGTTCAAAAGAATTAACACTGGTTAGATAGATGACTGAAGATTTCCTTCCATATGCTTGGAAACCACTCTGCAAAAACCTTGACAATGAAGTATTATAAAAACTCAAATGCATGAATCCCAGCACGACCAGTATGATGTAAAGATGAAGAACAAGAGGAGCTTAAATGTCACAATTATATAACAGAGATAAATGTATCTTTCACAGCTCCTATGCAAATCTACAAGGCAGTAACCTATATAAAGTTTTATGTGCTGTAAAAAAGCAGCATTGTGATAAAGAATACAACCATAATTTATTCTAAAATGAAAAAAGGATCAGTACAGATGAAACACAGTAGGTTTATCATAGATGAGGGCACCAACTAAGATTACAGTCCCAAATTATTTCCAAGTAATGATTTTCAAAAGCATATTGTCAAGATAAACAGTAAGCAGTCTTGATCAATAGTCAACTTGCAGGTTGTGAAAACAAGATTCTATCATTTCAGTGCTGTAAAATGAAAACCTTATATATCTAATTTGGCTGAATTTCTCTGAAGAAAATAACACACAATACCAAAGTTGCAGAAAGAAACTTCACCAACAAAGATTCTAGTGAAATCGTCTTTTAAGGATAATTTCATTTCAGACAACTTAGCACAGACAAAGATTGGGCTGTTTCGATTCTTGAATGATCCCATTTATATGTGGAAATAATGAGGGTGCCATTTAATTTAATAAAAAGATTCTGTCATGAAAGAATTTCCTAAGCTCACGTAATATACATCTTTGGTAACCCAAAACAATCAGCCAATTCATACAGTGTAAAAAGTAAGCCTTAGAAACAAAGGAAGTTAGCGATAGCAAAACTTGTTGGCTACTGCTCCACAGACAATTTACACAAGGAAACAACGAAAGAAAATTTCTCTGCTACTAAAAAAAATTCAACTATTTCTGAGTAATTTGACAATGCTGATTCTAAACATCATGTTTAAAATTACTGATCACCTCTAGTTTTTGAGATATGATAGATTTATTCAAAATATTCTTATATATCATGAAAATAACCTTTTCTTTAATACTTTATTTTCCATTGAAAATTGCTTTTAAGAATGTGTAATCTGCATGTTTTGATAAGTTTATTTCATGTTCACAGTATGAGCAACATGAATCCGTGGCTTAGTGTTCCCTTTGTGCAAAAGTA